ACCACCCCCTCTGCTCCGGGACAGTTCTTCTGGTGCAACAGAACACTCACCCGCTGCGTCAATACGTCCACCCTGGTCTTGTTTCCCTGTCATGGTGGTCCCTCAATTAACTCTACATGATGAGTCTGAATTCCGGTGGCTTCTCCTAGGGCCCCGGCCAAGACGAGCCATCTTTTTGCCCGTCACAATGGGTCTCAGCTTGGCCTCTTCCATTGCGGCCTCAGGGCTCGCGGGAAGTGCCCTGGGCCACGGTGTCATTTCTGCCCAAGATTTTGCAGATCGCCTACAAATCGCCCTAGAAACCACTTCTGTCTCGCTGGCCTCACTACAAAGACAACTAACTTCACAGGCTCAGGTTACGCTCCAAAATCGAAGAGCGTTAGATCTGCTGACAGCTGAAAAAGAAGGGACCTGCTTTTTCCTTCGTGAAGAATGCTGCTACTATGTCAACAATTGGGCCTTGTAGAACAGAACATAGACAAACTCACCAACCTGAGTGAAGACCTACACAACCACCACCGCCAGAACACATCTCCCTTCGACTGGATGCAGTCCCCTTTAGCCACCTGGCTATTGCCACTAATAGGACCTGTTGTCATCATCTACCTAATCTTTCTCTCTGTTCCCTGTCTTTTACAGTTCCTCCAGCACTGCCTACAAGAGCTGTTTCGAGGCAGTAAACCAACTACTTCTCAACCCGTACTCCTCCCTACCAGTCACCCCTCCACCAGCTGACCCCGGCCTATAACCCCTAACTACACCCCTACACCCCCTCACAGCAGGAAGTAGTCAGAAAGAGTGGCACCCATCATAACCAAGGCAAGGATGTAAGGCTGGTGGCGGGCACCCCCTGCCCTCCCTAGATCAAAAAGAAAAGGCTCACGAGACCAGACCCACCAAGGACAACTTGCCAGGCCCTGCTGAAAACAACCACATCTGGATGTCCACCTGGATAAGACAGTTTGGGTTCCTGGATTCCACAAATACCGCCAGCCCCCCCTATTTCTCAATAACTGTCGAAAGTCACAGTGGAAAATCCCCAGCTCTTCCTGCCCCAAATCCCCAAACTCGTTTCAAATAATATAAAGTCCTGCATCCCTTTCAAGTGGATGTGACTTCTCGGGCCTCATTCTCCTGGGACCTGTGAACCTCGCCTGGGAGCTCTCAATAAAGCCAGGTTGTTTGGCCCCACTCTCTCTCTCTGTTTCTTTCACTGCCAGAAAACTTTACAGAAGTCAAGTCTTGAAAAGGGAAAAATATATTATAAGTTGTCTCTTTAAACCACCCTCCCCTACTGTTTTGGGGATTTTAAACCTGCATTCCTGCTCAAGGCCAGTGATCAGAGGGCCAGGGGAGTGTCCTTTTTTCTTTATATCACAGGAGATGGCCCAGTGGAATTGTCTGGGCAGAAGTCAAGAGATCGTCTTCACCAGAGATGCCATAGTTAAATAGCAATAGCCTGAAACTGAAAATTCCCTTTTAAAGCTCTGTATTTCTGCTTATAGATAGGACGATGGATTATTTTTTAAGATAAAAGTCTGCCATCCTCATTTGCTGGCAAATTAATAAACTTCTCTTTCCTTCTCCTCAAGTCACTTGTCCTCATTCTTTGATTGGCTATGGGACAAGTATCGAACTTTTGGTAAAATAATCTCAAACCTCTGGGCTCAAGCAATCCTCCTGCCTCAGCCTCCTAGTGGTTGGGGCTACAGGAGTGTGCCACTGCACTTGGCTTGCTTTTCTGTTTCTAAGGGCTGGGATCAGCATACTACAACTAAGTGAACATGACCACAAGTCAATTCTGGAATAGATACATTTGAATCTACCGCCCCAGTCTAGATGGAAGATATTTTAATCTCTGCCTGCGTAGTTTCCTGCTAACTTTCAGCTGGGGTGTTTAGGAGCCCTGTGGGGTTAGGCTGCCACCCCAGCCTGAGCCCCATTTCTCAGACTTAAATGTCAGAACAAAAATTCTATTGTGTTGATGACAGAGACTGCGCTTCCTGATGGTGCCATATGTACACATTTTGCCTTCCCAAGGACAGCATGGTCCCATGGTCAGCCTCCTGTGGATGAAGTCACCGGCACTGTGTGCTGAAGAGCCTGGGTTCCAGGGCTGGCAGTGACTGTGGGCAGAGAGCGCCCCTCCCCTGGCAGTGGCAAGCAGAGGCGCTGTGTGTGGAGGGCCCAGGCCAGGGCCTGGCACATTGTCACTGATCCATAAACACTCCTTTTTCTCTTCCATGCTACCCCCCTTCTTGCAGCTACTCTGTGTTCTCCAGAGCGTGGTATGCTGCTAGGCAGGTATACCATGTAGGTATACCATGTAGGCCAGCAAACACTCAAAATGTGCTACGCTGACTAATCGAGAAGTGGGCAAGAACAACAAGTCGAGAGTGAAAGAACTGCAGAAAAGAATGCAGACAATACCGTCTGTGAACTAAAATAAAATCTTAAGCCCCCCAGCTGACTAAATGGACCCCTTCTTGGCCAAGGAGACCCCAGAAAGACCCTAAACTGAGTTGCTGGCTATGAGGAGGGAGGTCAGACATGATTCTTCATGCCCTCGTCTTTCCTGGAGATGTCCTTTGTAACTCATTACCAGGCCTAAGGCCAAGTAAGACAAAACTTGAACCACACCCACAGGTTCTCGATTTACCCAACAGGTCCCATGAGTCTATGTACGGTGTGCCTGCTCGTCTCCGAACAGCAGACTTCCTTATCTGAAAACACGCCGGCCGGGCGCGGTGGCTCACGCCTGTAATCCTAGCACTCTAGGAGGCCGAGGCAGGTGGATTGCTCGAGGTCAGGAGTTCGAAACCAGCCTGAGCAAGAGCAAGACCCCATCTCTACTATAAATAGAAAGAAATTAATTGGCCAACTAATATATATATATAGAAAAAATTAGCCGGGCATGGTGGCGGATGCCTGTAGTCCCAGCTACTCGGGAGGCTGAGGCAGAAGGATCACTTGAGCCCAGGAGTTTGAGTTTGCTGTGAGCTGGGCTGATGCCACGGCACTCACTCTAGCCTGGGCAACAAAGTGAGACTCTGTCTCAAAAAAAACAAAACCCAAAAAAATAAACTACACCAAGCCTTTAGACAAAGCTTCATTTCCTTGACCAATCACAAATCAAAGAATCTTTAAACCCATCTATAACTTGTAAGCTCCTGCTTCGAGATGTCCTACCTTGTCAGGCCAAACCAATGCATGCCTTCCATGTGCTTAATTATGACTGTATGTGTAATTCCTGTCTTCTTGAAATGTATAAAACCAATCTGTAGCCCAACCACTGGGACAGCACTTGCTTAAGGCTTCTTGGGTGTGGCTTTGGGCCATGGCCACTCATACTTGGCTGAGAATAAACCTTGTTAAATAATTTTACAGAGTTTGGGTTCTTTTCTGTTGACATGACTAAGATCCTAAGCAACAGGAAACTGTAAGTCAGCCACCCCCAGCTTCTCAAGGTGCCAGGAACAAGGAAGTCTCCCTGTGCTGTGTTACTGACGTAGGCGGCAATTTGAGGTTGAACATCTCAGCTCTTGTACCCATGTGGTCTATCCCTCTCCAACTGGGCTGTGTATGCCAGGGAAGAATGAACCAGATGGAGGATGCTGAGCAGAAAGAGTGGCCAGAGGGGAACCCCAGGGTGGAGCTGGAGGACCCTGAGGCTTGCAGTTTTCCAAGAGCCAGCTCTTATCCTGACCCTGGGAAGAGCTGTAAGAAAGGCACAGGTCTTATGTATCTGAAGGAGCTCAGGGAATTTTGCCCCACAATATGACTCCTAGGTATAAAGAGGATTTTGAATTAAAGGCCCTTAGAGATCAACAGGTGTTAGAAGCGGCTTTCCCTGTATCTAGGTAAAACCGGAGGGACCCATCTATAAGAACAATTGCTTTTCCTTCCCCTCCCTGTTATCTCAATATATTGCAGGAAAGAAGGTCAAGAATGCAACCAGACCTGGCCCAAATCATTTTAAATATAATACCTGTCTCTCAGGTTAATTTAATTTCCAAAGAGAATCATTTACAAGTCAATCTGTTTCCCCCATCCACTCATTCTCCCAAGTATCAGAATCTATTCCTCTACTCTAATAACTTTTTATTGTCACTTAACAGAAATATCTAAGTCCTCGTCTCCCCTCCCTCTAAAATAAAGGCATGTAAACTTCTGTGCCCCACTGGGAAACTGAGTGAGCCCTCTGTGATCCTCCTCGTGTGCACAGTAAATAAATCTCTTTCTCTTACTGATCTGCATGTTCCCCTCCCCGCACATACCCCTTCCCTGAGCTCCTCCCTAGCCTTTAGACCCTTTCCTTTGCCAGATGAATGCTCAGGACTCTCCCTCCTGCTGCTTTCTGGCAGGGCCAAGTCCCTGTCCTGCCAAGGTGCCAAAATAGGTGACACAGTGAAGCCAGGATGAGTTCCAGAGCCAGGTTGGGGCCCAGGCCTGCCACTTACTATTTTGTTGCCTTGGACAAGTTACTTAGCTTCTCTGAGCCCAGGATTTCTAATAAATGCTCAAAACAGGGGTGACTGACCCTGCCTCCTGGGAGGTAGGAAAAGGCTTGTAAGGAGAAGGCTACAAAGCACTCAGCCCAGCCACTAGTTGCCAGCAATGCTGTCCCCTCCCCCTTCCCGCTGGCTTCATTCCCTCTGAGTGGGTAGCAGCTGGGACTATCCTGATGATATTAATTCATACTGAGGTTAGTGAACTTAACACTGACAAGGAAAATTTTCAGTTTTAAAAGCCAAACTTCTCGATCCAAATACCTACCTGGCAGGTCCAGTGAGGAACTTTCACTTTAGTTCAGCTTTGTTGTATAAGGCAGGGCCCCTTCTGTGTTACTTCCCTGTCTCTGGACCCACCCAGCTCCACCCATGGACCCAGGGCCCCCTTTCCAAAGAGAATGCAGGAATCCCACCCCTATTCACCCACCCACCAACTACTGCTGGGACGTGGGGTTGACCCCAGGGCATCCTACGGGCAGCAGCTCTTACGTGCTTTTCCGGAATGGGGGCTGTGAGTAGGGAGATCCCCAGCATGCTGAGAAGACTAACTAGGAAGATGATGATGGCGAAATGGAGGTAGTGCAGGCCGCAGATGACCACTGGGCACTTGCTGTTCCCCATGCAGCTCCAGGGTCCATAGACCAACTCGGCCACCAATCGAAATAAGCCAGTCATGATCCCAAAAATCAGTCCCCAGAAGGCACCCTGCCAAAGAAGGAGCCCGACAGAGTCACCTGGGAGGAAGGTGGGTAGTGAGACAAGCCATCTTCATCCTCAGCTCCCTGACTAGCTGAGTTCCAAATGTGCCCTAAAAAACCCCGTCTTTCCCAGTTCTCTATATGGCACCTCCCTTTCCCTGATTGCTCAGGTCAGGAGCTGGGAGCCATCCCTAGTTCCTTTCTATCTTGCCTTGCCTGTTGGCTCTATCCTCTAAATGCATCTGGAATCAAATCACTTACCATCATCTCTGCGGCATCCACCCTGCCCCAAACTGCCACTATCTCCCACACAGGTAGGGCTCCCGCCCTGCTTGCCCACTGTCCCCATAGAAGCCAGAATGGCCTCTCAAAGCAGACGCTAGAGAATGCCGTGCCTCCACCTAGACCCTCCAAGAGCTGCTCAAGCCTCTACTCTGAACCAAAGCTGGCTTAACCTGGCTCCCTACTGTTCCCCTGGTCATTCCACTCCTGCCATTGTGACCTTCCTCCTGCACCTCGAACCTGCCCACTTTGCTCTTGGCTGGGGCCTTTGTACTTGCCCTTCTCTCTGCTTGGGGCTCTCTCTAGATCTTGGTATTTCTGGCTCATCCTTAGGTTTCTGGCTCATCCTTAGGTTTCAAATTCAAGGTCACCTCCTTAGGAGAGGTCTCCCAACTACCTTAGCTAATGTCCTTGTCCACCTCCATGGTGGACACCTGTCCTGCCAATCTCCATGATCCTTTAAAAAATTTTTTTTTTTTTTTTTAGAGACATGGTCTCTCTATATTTCCCAGGCTGGACTTAAACTCTTAGGCTCAAGCAATCCTCCTACCACAGCCTTCCGAGTAGCTGGGACTATAGGCATACACCATGGCACCTGGCCCCCTTTTTTTTATCTTTTAAACAGCGTTACAACACTATCAGAAAGCTCCATCTGCTCATTTGAGTGTCATCAACCAGGCTGTCTATTCCATAGGAATAAGGACTAGGTCTTGGCTTGGGAGCAGTGTCTGTAGCCTCATGCAGGTGGGGACGGATGCCAGAGGAGTTAGAGGAGATGGTACGTGGGCAAGCATCTTGGAGAAAGAGCTGAGACCAAAAGCCAGACAGAGGATCCGCAGGAACCATTTACTGGAGGAGACAGGCAGAAGGCAGATGCGCATACCATTGGAAACCAGGTGGGAGAGAGGGCCGAGAGAGTTCCCCGGGTGGGAAAGGCTACACACAGTATGCTGAAATTTGGGGACTAGAGTCAGCAGGAGAGCCACTGACCAGATCCCCGTTTTCCTTGGGGATAGGCCCAACACCTGAGGGTGGTGCCACAGGTGGGAGGCAGAGTCCCGTGCCGTGGCTGCCTACCCTCTTTCCCATGCCCTACCCAGAGAGCAAAGAGAAGCAACTTCAGCATTTCTGGAGCCCAGCGCTCTCCCCACACACTCTTGGTGCTAAACTGAGTCCTGGTGAGCTGGGTGGGGCAGGGAGCAGGCCTGGGAGGTAGCATCACTTGGGTGGAGGAGTAAAAACATATTCCTGGCAAATCGAACAGTCTCTGCAAATGAAGGAAGGCCCAGAGAGGGCAGAGGACAGCTCAGCACTCAGCCCTGCAAACCACATGCAGTGGCTGAGACCCAGGGGCTGTGCACGGAGAGGGCAAAGCCCAGAGGCAGGCGGGGCAGCCCACAGAGCACCTCAGGCACGCACTCAGGGACCGTGTGAGGCCCAGCGACTAAGTGCTGTCAGAGAAACAAGGCTTAAGATATGATTCCAATAAAAAAAAAATCTAGCAAACTACACTTTCCAAGTGTTACTGATAAAATGATTGAGCCATTAATTGGGACCTTTATTTGGTCTTAAGAGTAGCTGAAAGAGATGGTTGAAATAATTATTCTTCCTCACTGCAGGGAAGGTGGAAGGAGCTCGCTGCTGTATATCCTCCCCCCTTTCCCCCTGTGAGAGTGACATCTCTGAGCATGACACATCCATGTACAGAGGAAACAGATTATTTTCCTGCAGCCATATGTGTGTGGTGGAGAATCACTCACAATCTTGCACCATATATGGCACAGCTGAAAGTGGATTACACTATGAAGGGAAGGAAACAAATGAGAGCTCTCCCTTTCTGTCCATGCACAAAGGAGAGCTTGGACCAAATCTGCTCAGGAGGAAATCAGCTCTCAGAAAGCAAATGGGGCCAGGCACAGCAGGTCATGCCTATAATCCCAGCACTTTGGGAGGCCAAGGTGGAAGGATCACTTGAGGCCAGGAGTTCAAGACTAGCCTGGGCAACATAGCAACACCCAGTCTTTAAAAACAAAATTAAAAATTAGCTAGGCCTGGTGGTGCATGCCTATAGTCCTAGCTACTCAGGAAGCTGAGGCAGGAGAATCACTTGAGTTCAGGAGTTCAAAGCTACATTGAGCTTTGATCACGACACTGAACTGCAGCCTGTGTGACAGAACGAGACCCAATCTCTTAAAAAAAAGAAAGCAAATGAAACCACAGTGTCAACTCTTGAAGCACAACAGAACTCTTGCAAAGACAACTACAATGTGAAGGCCGGCCACCCCTTACCCTGTTCCATGCAGTGGCCACACCAACACCTACCTGCTCGTTGACTCTCTTGCAAAACATGGCAAGCAGGAATATGGCAGCAATGGGAGGTGTCATGTAACTCCTGACTGCCTGCATGTACTTAAACAACTGCTCACTGTGACTCATTTGCATAATAGGGACAAAGGCAATGGTGACAGCAAGTAAGACTATAACAAAAAACCTGTAAATTAAACCAACAGTCAATGACAATTTGATGAGTTTTTTTCTTGTCAATAAAATATCTACAAACCATATATAAACTATAAACTCCATTATTCCTTAGTTTAAATTCAGGTACCCATTCATAAGTGTGGGGCAGAGGAGATAGCTGTATGCTTACACACAAACGGGTACGACTGTACGGGGCTGCACTGGCTATCTGTTTGCGTTACTGGTTAATGAATAAATATATATTATTAATACATGGCAAATATTAATTTCTTGAAGGGTGACACATTTTTTTAAATTTTAGATAGACTGTCTCCCAAAACAAAATTAGAAAAATTAAAAATTCAGATAGGTTACTAGGGCACATGATTTTAAAGACTTCAACAAGTTCAGAAACATCTTATTATTTAAGTTTTGCTGAAAAATTTAAGGAACTGGTTAGAGGCTACAGATGTTCATTACTATTTCTAAGTAAATGATTTTCTAATGTGTATCCATATAAAAAAAACATACTAGATCAAGTGTTGCCCCAAAGATGAATAAAACTTAGTTCTAAGTCAACAAGGGCTGAAAATTTATAATTTTGAGAAAGTGTATGTAAGCTAGAAAGGACTAACTCAGTGACAGTCAAATAAGAGGCAAAGAAGTGTGTTCCAGACAGTGACAAACTCTGAGACAAATATAAAAAGAATTTGAAGACATTGAAGAGCATCCAAAAGCAGGCAGAATGGGAGGGGATTCAATCCTTGGAAGAAAAGAACCACACTAGGTGATATCTGCATTTGTATAGCTTCCCTCCTGAGACTGGCTTCATAGTATGGGGTAGCAAGAAGTTGAGCATAAAGCCCTACACTTACCGGGATGAGGTGATAGAGGACAGAGGTTGGGGATTCAGAGTGGCTGAAAATTTGAGAGGAAAATTCCAGAAAGGAGGGAGCTACAGAGCCAGGGCGTCCAAACCTGTTATATAATATAAACTCCCCTTGAACCCTTGGTGAATCCCTGAACTGTACATAAGTGGGAGAATCTCCAAAGAGTCCACCAACAAGCAACTGTTGGAAGGCAGAAAAAACTGAGCAAAGATTGGAGCTGGAATCCCATCAAGTTAGAGGGGCTATGCAACCACCTCAGGCTTTTTGCTGAAACCCTAGAAGGGTCATGCTGTAGAATTAGAGACTATATCCCAGGACTAAGAATTTAACTGAAACAACTGAAACAACCTACCCTAACAAAGTATAAAACTAGACCTCCGGCCGGGCGTGGTGGCTCACGCCTGTAATCCTAGCACTTTGGGAGGCCGAGGCGGGCAGATTGCTCAAGGTCAGGAGTTCGAAACCAGCCTGAGCAAGACCCCGTCTCTACCAAAAAAAAAATAGAAATAAATTAATTGACGAACTAAAAATATATATACAAAAAATTAGCCGGGCATGGTGGCGCATGCCTGTAGTCCCAGCTACTCGGGAGGCTGAGGCAGGAGGATCGCTGAGCCCTGGAGATTGAGGTTGCTGTGAGCCAGGCTGACGCCACGGCACTCACTCTAGCCTGGGCAACAAAGTGAGACTCAAAAAAAAAACAAAAAAAAACTAGACCTCCACAAACTGAAGATGATCAGCTAGTAATTTACCTGAATGCTAGAACAAAAACCAGAGGAACATGATCCAGAGACTCTACAATATATTATCTACAATTTCTAGTATACATAAAATTTACTAGGCATGTGAAGAAATAAGAAAAGGTCACTCATAGCAAAAAAAAAAAAAAAAAGCAATCAATAGGAACTAACACCAAGTTGGCTCAGATATTAAAATTAGCAAAGTACTTCAAAGCAGCTATGACAGTTATACTAAAGGACTTAAAGGAAATGATGGATTATGAGTGAACAGATAGGAAATCATGGCAGAAAACTGGAAACTATAAAAACTTTAAAAAAGAACCAAATAGAGCACAGAGTGGTGGCTCATGCCTATAATCCTAGCACTTTGGGAGGCTGAGGTGGGAAAATTGCTTGAGACCAGTAGTTCAAGAACAGTCTGAACAAGAGCAAGACCCTGTTTCTATAAAAAAATAGAAAAATTAGCTGGGCATGGTGGTACATGCCTACAGTCCCAGCTATTCAGGAGGCTGAGGCAGGAGGATTGCTTGAGCCTTGGAATTTGAGGTTGCAATGACCTATGATGACACCACTGCACTCTAGCCTGGGCAACAGAGTGAGACCTTGTCTCAAAAAAAAAAAAAAAAAAAGGAAGAAAAGAAATTCTAGAGCCATATCTAAAATAAAAAATCCACTGCTTGGCCTTAACAATATATTGGAAATGGCACAATAAAGGGCCAACAAACCAAGAGACATACTGATAGAACTAAACTGAAGAACACAGAGAAATTTTTTTTAAGGAAATAGAGCCTCAAAGATCTGTGGGATAATATCAAAAATAATATATGTGTAAGTAGAGTCACACACACACACAAAAAAAGAAAACAGAATGGAGTAGAAAAATATGCAAAGAAATAATGGTGAAAAATCCCCCAAATTTGGTGAAAACCATTAATTTATATATTTGAGGAGCTCAGCAAAACCCAAACAGGATAAACACCACACACACACACACACACACACACACACACACACACACACCATGATGAAATTGGCAAAAAACCAAAAATGAAGAGAAAATCTTTAAAGCCATAGGAAAAAGGATGTGTCACATAAAGAGAGTAACAATGTGAGTTATGGCTAAGTTCTCATCAGAAACGAGAGGGGAGAAGAGATTAGAACAGAATCTTTAAAGTGGTGAAGAAAAATACTGTCAACTTAGAATTCTATATTCTTCACCAAAATATAGGTGAAGGCCAGGCATAGTGGCTCATGCCTATAAACCATCACTTTGGGAGGCTAAGGCAGGAGGATCGCTTGAGTCCAAGAGTTCAAGACCAGGCTGGGCAGCATAGCAAGAACTCATCTACATAGCTATCTATATATTTATATATCTATATATCTGTATCTGCAACTGACTGCTTATATATCAATATTGGCAACTGCTTAAAGCAAAAATTATCACTATCACTGTAGTGTGGGGTTTATGATGTATGTAGATGTAAAATACATGACAGCCATAACACAAAAGATGGAACGGGAAATGGTACAATAATTAACTCTAAGTAGACTGTGAGAGATCAAGAATGTATATTATAATCCTCAGTGCAACCAAAAGAAATTAAAGTGGAATATTAAAATTATTTCCAGCAATATTAGTGATTACTTTAAATGTGAATGAATTAACACTCAAATTAAAAGGTAAAGATTGTCAGACTAGATTAAAAAAATAAAGATCCAACTATATGTGCTCTACAAGGGACTCACTTGAAATATATTTATAGGTTAAAAGTCAAGGCTGGTTATAAACATTAAGCATAAGAAAGATGGTGTGAGTTATATTAATAATGAAGGAAACCTCAAAACAAGGAGTATTATCAGAGATAAAAAAAGGACAGTTCATAATGACAAAAGGCTTAATTCTGCAGAAAGCCACAACAAGTGTAAATGTGTAAGCCCTTGATACCAGAATGTCAAAATACATGAGGCAAAAACATAACAGAACTATAGAGAGGGAGAAATAGGCAGCTACACAATCATAATTGGAGATTTTAACACCTTTCTGTCAGGAAAGAAGACACATAACCTGTTTGTACAGGTTATGATGTTATAATATATCACAATATTCTTACTGAATTTGTCTTATTCTTCCAGTGTTACAAAAGTACTGAAATTTCAAAAGTATAGTAAATTTCGATCACAGAGTGTGTTCGATCACAGTGGAAGTAAATCAGAAATCATTAACAATAAGATGGCCCCAAATACTTGGAAATCAAATGGCATACTTCAAAATAATCCACAGATCAAAGAAAAAAATCACAGGAAATTAGAAAATATTTTCGACTGAATGAAAATGAAAATAAAACATATCGAGATCTGTGGGGTACAGCTAAAGCAGGGCTTAGAGGAAGATTTATAACTTTAAGTGGTTATAATACAAAATAAGAATGGTTTTATATATTGATATAAAAACTTGATATATAAAATCTTTCTTTTTTAAGAGACAGGGTCTCCCTCTACTACCAAGGTTGGAGTGCAGTGGCATGACCACAACTGGAACTCCTGGGTCCATGTGATCCTCCTGCCTCAGCCTCCTGAGTAGCTGGGACCACAGGTTCATGCCTGGCTAATTTTTAAATTTTGTGGAGACAAGTTTTTACTATGTTGCTCAGGCTGGTCTCTAACTCCTGGGCTCAAGTGATCCTCCTGCCTTGGCCTCCCAAAGTGCTGGGATTACAAGTGTGAGCTACCGTGCTTAGCCTTTAACCAATAATCTTAATTTCTACTTTAAGAAGCTAGAAAAAAGAGCAGAGTAGTAAAACCAAAGTAAATAGAAAAAAGGAAATCATAAGGAATGGGAACCAGTAGCAAAAAGAAAAAAATGGTTATTTTAAAGTCCTTGTGTGCTATCTGTGGGTCTACTTTCTCTCTCTCTCTTTCTCTTCCTCCCTCTCTTTGTCCAACTGTCTAAATACAGAGGCAAGGGGGACACTTGCTTTGTTCCTCTCTAATTTATTGAGTATGACATATGCTTTTAGCGGCATGTAGATGTTGAAAGTATACATTTTATTAAAAATGCCTTTTCATCACCTCTGAATACATGCATGATTTTTCTCTTTTGATCTGCTAATATGGTGAGTTATTTAACTATATTTCCTAATATTGAACCATCCTTGTATTTTTGGAAAAAAAATCATTTGGTAATGAGATATCCTTTTAAACATTCTTTTAATGTTTTAATGTATTGTCGGATGTGTGTCTAATATTTCATGTATAATTTTTGCATTGATATCTAAAAGTGAGATTAGTTTTTTTCTCTGATATTTTCCTGTGCTGTATTTCTTAGGTTTGGGCATCAATATCTGGAGCTTCAGAACATGAATTTAAGTCTTCTTTTTTTTCTATATTCTCTAACAATTTAAATACAACTGAAATCCATTTCTCAAAATTTCTCAGAAAAATGCTTTTTAAACCATGGAATGCTAATAGAAATGTAAAGGCAAACTCAAACACTTGCAGGGCTTAGACAGATAGACGAGATAATCAAGGGCACCTTGATGGGAGGTAAAGGAAGTGATTTAGACACACCAAAGGCCTAGTTAAAGGTGTGTGGCTGGGTGTGGCCCATGGGCAGCCAATGTAAGACCCTGTGGAAGAAGCCCTTTAAAGACAGGGACCTAGCAGACAGGCTCCCCTACTTACCATGTGATCTCTGGGGAATCATTTCCCCCCTCTGAGCCACTGTCTTCCCATTTGGGCAGTGAGAATAAGAACAGTAAAACTTAATTTTAATGGTTCTCATGAGGACTAAATGAGATAACAAGATAATTTATGTAAATTTCTCCAAAAGGACTATTTTGGGGGTAACTAAATTATGCTCTTTTTTAAACACTGTGATTATCACTTTATTGTTTCCCAAATGGAAACAATTTTTTTTGTGATCATCAAAGCAATCCATCTTCATTACAAAACTGCAGCAAAAAAAAACAGAACAAGCAGACTGTATGAAAAGAGAATAATCCTATATACAGTGTTACAGCCTAAATTTCTCCCACAATAACATACTGTGGGCACCATTTCCCTGACAGCAGCAGTCACTCCTGTGATTGGAGGTACTTCACCTGCCTGTTACCATGAGCTCCGTCTCAGTGGCCACAGGCCGCATCACAGTATAGATGTTCAGTGTGAACAGGGCGCTGGCGCTGTGGCAAATAGAAGTCAGGGAGGATATGAAAGAGGCGCAGAAGGTGGACAGCATCAAGCCTCGCAAGCCTGGAAGAGAAGGGACATTTCCTGGGCCTGGTGCTCTGGCCATGCCAGGAGAGGACTTAGGCCTCCTGAGGAACCTTTCCACATACCAGATTTTCTCCTACAAAAACCTCAAATTTTATTTGGAGTAGAATTCCACCTAAGGCAGATGAATGCATTACATTTGTCCTCACTTTGTGACAAGACTTGATAGTTTCCTGCTGTGTCTTTGTATAAAATGGAGGCTAGTATCTCTTGGGTAGTCACTCTATGCCAGAACCTCTCTTCAGGCCGGCACCATCTCCCTCCAGTCCTGTGCGGGGGATGCCACTGCTGCTCCCCTTTGACAGATAAGGAGCTCAGAGAAGGTTCAGACCATGGAAAAGTGATGTGGCTCCTTGTGCCTCAGTGTCCTCATCTGTAAAGTGGGCATAACAGTACCTACAACATAGAGCTGCTGTCAAGATTAAGATAAATTAAGTAGACAAGTTAGCACAATATCTGATATAGAGCAAGTGCTCAGCAAATGTTAGTTACACACATGACAACCTAGTATTAGTGCCTGGAAGGCCACTAATGTGGCAGGGACGTTAACTGCTGGATTGAGAGATTTCTATGTTTTGGTATGTCATCGGAAGACCAGGACCTGAGCTGGGAGCCCACTGTAGCAACACCCCCAACCGGACTCAGGGGGGCCATTCGGGCCAGGCACAGACTGGGGACCTGTGATGTGCCTTCCTTCCACTGCCCATTGTCACTTGCAGGCCTGGCTGGGTAGTCTAAACAACTCCCTTCCTGAACTGCGGGATGGTCAGTATTCCCCTCTACCTGATTTCATCTATTCTGTATTTTATGGAAATGTCTTAACTTTTCCAACCTGTTGTTCTCCAGAGCTAACATAGAATAATTTCCTTAAATTATAATATTCGTTTGGCCACTTCAGTGGGATTTGGGAAAGAAGGTGAGATAAATGCACAGGCTCCTGCCATCGCTGACAAAAGTCATCTGATTGTTGGGTGCCAGCCATCTCCTTGCCTGTCCCATTGGACTGTGAGCTCTCTGAGGGCAGAACTAGGCTCTGCTCACTTTGTATTTTCATGGCTCAGAACAATGCCTGCAAGTCTTGGAGCCCATTTCTTGAATGAGCTAGCAAAGGAAGGAACTGAGCGGGTCAAGTGAGCAATGCAAATGGCCATGCTTGAGATGATGTCCCATCCCAGTTTGCGAGCAATGGGGGGAGGCCCTGCTCCTTCCATCAGGCCAAGCTGGGCCCCTCTGTGCACTGCTGTCCCTCCCACCCTGCAGCCTGCACTTCCACCTGGAACGATGGGCTGACGGTGGGTAAGCCACTCTGGGGCCCTCGCTCCTGACCATCCACTTACAGTGCGAGGGCAGAGGCTCCAATGAGGACACAGATCATGGGTTTTCCATGGCCCTTGGTAGCAGGTGCCATTTCTTACCACTGGGCAGCAGCTCTATCACCAGCAGGGGGTAGGCGATGGGGCTGCAACCAGTTTCCATGCCACAGTACTTCTGACATTCTGAGGGTACAACACATGCCACTTTATCTGCAAAGAGAGATAACAGTCACATCAACATATTGGCCTTGGGGCTCTAAAATCTGAGCCCAGGGAAAGGGAAGCAAATTAGGAATCACGTATTCATAAGTAGATGTTAGACACTGGTCCACTGGAGACTGCAGCATGGTATCCTGCACACTCTCCAGGAGTCTGGGGGGAGGAAAGGGCTTGGAGTCAGGCACCTAGGAATCAAATGAACAGGTGCTTCTGCAATCCACTGTGTGACCCAAAGCAAGTTCTGTGACCTCAGTAAGCCTTTCAGTGATGCCAGCAAGGTCTTAGGAAAACAAATAGATCATCTGTCCATGTACCGATGTGTGAGCAACTCATAACCTTACTCCATCAACCCTGATGGGGGTGTTATTTCAGAGTATCTGGGACTCTGAGGTCTTGCAGAGCACCGGGGATGATTTCCTAACCTACAAGCACCACCTATAGGCCTATCAAAGCACTGCTTGACAGCCGAAGACCAAGTCTGGGACTGTTGAAAAGGAGCACTTCTCTCTATTGAAGTAAGGAAGGAATTAAGATAAAAAACAAGAGGCATCTGTACCCCCATAATATGCCAAAATAAAAAAAAAAAAAAAGTTAAAAAAAAAAACAAAAAAAAAACAAGAGGCATGTCTCAGAGGCTGACTGAAGGATGAATTAGGGCTAAAGATGTCTACCTGCACATGTTACTTAGCAATAAAAAGCGCCCTACGTTTTGTTTGGCCTTGTCAAAAGCACTGCAGCAAAAGCCTCCTATGGAAGTCGCCTGCTCCGCTCCTGCAGCGCCGCCTGCCGGTGTGTGTGCTCCATGATGCGTAACAAATAAATAGACACAGAAAGACAGAACAGGCTAGTAAACCCAGGTTGAAATGGGGATGATGCACATCCACGGAATTAAGATAGCTCCTTAAGGGAAACAGGGATGTTTTAATGGCATTTAACGAAAGGGTCAGGCCCACTCTGGGGTTACATTGAGCTCCAATGTGCCCGAATTCAATGAGGTCATGCAAGGTCACCTCGGGGGCTATGGAGAAGCAGTGACAGCATCTGTGAGATCCCATCACAGTGTCTGGCACACGAGGCGTGTCCAGCGTGATGGTGTTTGTGATGTGATGAGAGCGAGCTGACCTTCCTGCAGACTGTGTCTCAAAGTCATGGCAGAGACTGGGCTCCTGCCGGAAGGAGTGAAGCTCTGACCTGGGAGAAAACGCACTGATCTCTTCCCTGCCTGAATCCATCTCCCTGAAATTTCTCAATGGCTGCCTATGACCACAGTTTCTGCCAGACTTCTGCTTGGCTGCATCCAGGCCTAACCTATCAGCTCCCAAGGAAGCACTCTGGGGCACCTCCAACCTAGGAACTCATCATGGAATCTAAGAGAGGAAAAGTTGATTGGTGTGAATGCATCAGAATCAAGAATCTACCTGGGTACAGGATGCGGCTGATCATTCCCGGCATCACCATGCTGAACATGGACAGCAGCTTCACGTACCCACACAGGAGGCAGCCACCTTTCACATGAGATAAGTTCTTCCCTGCCAGGCACCGCTGGAAAAACATCTGCCAAAGAAACATAGGTGGGTGATGGCTTTGTCAGGGTGTGACACCTCAGCACAGACAGGACAACTGTGACCTGCTACAGCAGCTGGATGTGTCCTCTGGTGGTTTTTTGCTAAGCTGCCCCCTTCATCTAGACATCTCTGGGGCACCAGGGCCAGGGAGATGCACGTGACCAATGACCATGTTTTGCCCAGTACGCAAACACCGGAGGGGAAAGGGCTGGTGCTCATGACTTTGGCCTCATTGCCTGTGATGCACACCAATTACGGTAGCGGAGGCCCTTGTGAAAGTCAAGGTAGATCCCTGGCAAGAAACGAGTGTTCAGAACAGGGACCGACGCCATTCATCTAAACTGAACTACTTACTGTAGACCTGTAAAATGTAAAACTCTCCCAAGAGATCTTGCAGGACCCATTGCATGGTCCTGTAAGAGTCAGTGTGCTCTCAGGCCAAATGGAATGGTACCAGCAGGTAGAAAAGCACTTAAGAAAATAGAGACATGGTCCAGTGCATTAAAAAAATGCACTGAAAATTATGCCCCTGAAGAACATTAAAATAGTTTGCAAAAATGCCCACAGTGTAACTGTGACAGGGTACGAAATAGCATATACACTGTGAAGCTATACCTATTAAAAAGTCCACAAGAGGCCATGCACGGTGCCTCACACCTGTAATCCTAGCACTCTGGGAGGCCAAGGCGGGAGGATCGCTTGAGCTCAGGATTTCAATGACACCCCCTTGAGCAAGAGCGAGACCACGTCTCTACTAAAAATAGAAAAATTAGTTGGGTGTGGTGGTGTGTGCCTGTAGTCCCAGCTACTTGGGAGGCTGAGGCAGGAGGATAGCTTGAGCCCAGGAGTTTGAGGTTGCAGTGAACTAGGCTGACTCTATGGCACTGGAGCCCCAGTGACACAGAGAAACTCTGTCTTCGAAAACAAAACAATAAAAAAGTCCACAGGAATAAATTAGCCTCCCAGAATGCTAGGATTACAGGTGTGAGCCACCACGCCGGGCCTATTTGCTTCTTTTTTAATTAAAATTTTTCTTAAAGCATTCCCTCTACTAGTAGGGAAGCTATATATTCTACTTGTATGCTTTTAATGATTACTCTTAACATTTTTATTTTTTAATTATTTATTTTTGAGGCAGAGTCTCCCTCTGTCACCTGGGCTAGAGTTCCGTGGTGTCAGCCTAGCTCTCAGCAACCTCAAACTCCCAGGCTTAAGGGATTCTCCTGCTTCAGCCTTCAAGTAGCTGGGACTACAGGCATGCGCCACCACACCGAGCTAATTTTTTCTATTTTTAGTAGAAACAGCGTCTCACTCTTGCTCAGGCTAGTCTCAAACTCCTGAGCTCAAACGATCCAGAGTGCTGGCCTCCCAGAGTGCTGGATTACAGGTGTGAGCCACTGCGTACAGCCTACTCTTAAAATTTTAATGTGGTTACAACTTAAAATCTAAAGTAAATCAATATATCCCCACCCTTCTGAACAATTTAAGGTCCATAGACAGATTTAACTCCAAACTGTGGTCCAATATTTTAATTTTGTTGTTTTTTTACTTCTTGTATTAGTATTGTTTTTAGCCAATGCTTTAGATTTACTCATGTGCCTATCACTTTCTTTGCTAACTATTCCTTCTTGCTCATCAGCATTTCCTTTTTCTCTCTATACATCCTTCAGTTTTTCTTTAGGGCAGGTCATGTCTTTATTTTGCTCCCTTTTTAGGGAGCAAGGTCTTGCTGTCTTGCCCAGGCTGCATGCAATGGTCTCATCATAGCAACCTTGGGCTCAAGTGATCCTCCTGCTTCAGCCTCCCAAATAGCTAGGACTACAGGTGCACAACACCATGCCAGCTAATTTTTCTATTTTTGTAGAGCTAGGGTGTCACTCTTGCTCAGGCTGGTCCCAAACTCCTGGCCTCAAGCAATCTTCCCACGTTGGCCTCTCAAAGTGCTAGGATTGCAGACATGAGCCACTGTGCCCAGCCTGCCCTTGGTTTTGAATAATACCTTAGCTGGGCATATAATTTGAAACTGACATTTTCCCCAGTATTTTGAAAAATTTCCACTCTATCTTTTGGTTTACATTGTTGCTGCTGAGAGGTCTGTTGTCAATACAATGGGTCTTCTTTTATAAGCAATCTTTTCTCTCAGGTGGCTTTTAAAATCTTGTTGTTGATGTACTTGAGCTTTCATTATGTGTGTCTTTGTGCAAATTTTTAATTTCTCCTTGGGATTCACTGTGATTTTTGAATCTGATGATGCCTGCTCTTTCAACTTACTTCCCCCTCCTCTTCTTCTGGAACTCCAATGAGTTGTATCTAATACTCATTCTGTCTTTCGTGTTACTTTCTTTTTCACACTTAAAATTTTTGTGCTTTCTGGGCAGTTTCTTCTCTTCTCTCTTCCAGATTACTAATTTTTTCCTTTAGCTGTGTTAATCTACTGTTCAAATAGTTACTGAATTTTATACTTCAATAAATATATTTTCCATTCTAGAAGTTTGAGTTTTCAAATCTGATCTTTTTTGATATAATTTTGTTAATATTTTCAGTTTCACTTTCATTTCTTTAAACACTTTTTTGTATTTAGATCTAATACTTCAATTTTCTGACACTGGAGCATACTAATGGTGCAGTTTCTTGCTCATAGCAGTTAGACTCTTCCATGTTTTCTTTTCTTTCTTTTTTTTTTTTTTTTTGAGACAGAGTCTAACTCTACCTGGGTTAGAGTGCCGTGGCATCAGCCTAGCTCACAGCAACCTCAAACTCCTGGGCTCAAGCAATCTTTCTGCCTCAGCCTCCCGAGTAGCTGGGACTACAGGCATGTGCCACTATGCCCGGCTATTTTTTTCTATATATTTTTAGTTAGCCAATTAATTTCTATTTTTTTTTTTTAGTAGAGATGGGGTCTTGCTCTTGCTCAGGCTGGTTTTGAACTTCTGACCTTGAGCAATCCTCCTGCCTCAGCCTCCCAAAGTGCTAGGATTACAGGCGTGAGGCACTGCACCTGGCTTCCCCATGTTTCTAGTTTTGGGTTGAGGGCTCAAGTTGAGTAGTGATTTATTTATAGGAATCCTGCAAGACTTTGGTTGAGGATTGTCTTCATCCATTCCTGCTGCTATAACAAAATGCCTTAGACTGAACAATTTATAATTCTTTTCTTTTATCTTCTTCTTTTTCTCAGTTACTAACTCACTCACTCTCTGATTCCTAGACTAAATTAAACACATTAGAAATTTATTTCTCACAGTTCTGGAGGCCTAGAAGGTCCAAGATGAAGGCACCACAAGGTTGGCTGGATAGAAGACCTATATCCCCAATAAATTATATAGTACAATATACATTTATAATGTATATATACATATATATCATAAAGAATTAGGAACTGTAATTTTCAGTGTCTGGTGATGGCCCAATCTCTGCTTCCAAGATGGCTCCTTGAAGACTGTGTTCCTCACAGGTGGAAAGAGATGGAAGGGCAAAAAAAGGCCACGGTTCCCTCCAGCCTTTTTATAAGGCACTAATCTCCCATCCCCTGAGGGCAGAGTCCCATGACTTAATCGCGTCTAAAAGGCCCTGCCTTTTAATACTGCTCGCCTTGGGATTGAGTCTCACCACATGAATTTTGGAGGAAACACAAAGATTCAAACCTAAGCACCAGGTGCATCCTGTCAGAAGACATTTGCTAATAACTCTGTTAGATCCAGTGTAAAAATACATTTGGATATTATTTTGTTCATTTGTCTCCACGATTGGGGTTACCATACAGACGTAACATTAAAATATAGAGAAGAAAGGCCTGGCGGCCATGGTGGCTCAACGCCGTAATCTAGCTCCTGAGAGGCAGAGGAAGGGCGGATTTGCTCCGAGGTCAGAATTTCAAAACCAGCTGAGCAAAGAGCAAGACCCCGTCTCATACTATAATTAGAAAGAAATTATTGCCACTAATATATATAGCAAAAATTAGCCCGGGCATCGGTGGCGCATCCTGTAAGTCCCCAGCTTACTCAGGAGGCTGAGCAAGGCAAGATTTTGCTGAGCAGGAGTTTGAGGTTGCTGTGAGCTAGGCTGACGCCACGGCACTCACTCTAGCCTGGGCAACAAAGTGAGACTCTGTCTCAAAAAAAAAAAAAAGGCCTGCCATTATGAACCCAGAGGAGACTTTTTTGTACCTCCTGGAACCCAGGTTGAGTCACTTTTTATTTATTTATTTTTTTACTATTGTTCTTTCTCTTTGCTGGTGCCAGATTTTTTCCTATTCTATCTTTTCACTGAGGCTATAGTCTTTCAGGAATCCAAGTTCTACATGGAGAGTTTACTCTTCACTACTCATTAACTTATGGCCTTTCTTTCTCCTTTCTCACGTGGCCACTCAAACCTAAGTCTTTGAAAACCAAGTGCAGCAGATGTTAGGGTGACGTTAGGATGGGTAGAGAAAAAGAATTTTGAACACAAAGCTTGGGATAGAAAGAAATATAAAGTTCATTTTGTTTTTTCAGTGAGAGAGAGAAGGGAAAGAGGCATGGCCTACAAAAGAGAAGTCACCCAAGCAGAAGGTGCTCGGATTTTTATGGGGAAAAAGGGGGAAAAAAAAAAGAAAGAAAAAGTTATTGTGGCAGATGATAGTAGGCAAACAGCTGTGGAGCTGCTGTCCCTAGTTTTTTTCCTTTTTGTCTATTCTTTTCTGTGAGGCCTTCTTATCAAAGTCCTTGGAATCTAGTCTGGCAGGAACTGAAGCCGAGTTTATACTCCTGTTGTCCCTTAGAGCTCTTTATGGCTGTGAAAATGAACTCCTAGAGAAACTGCAGGTGGTTAATCTTAAAGACAATGAGTTGAGCCCCAGGTGGTTAATTAAACAAAATAAAGGGGGCAGTTGTGCTGTGATCTTTCTCTTCAAAGGGGCAATTTATTTTGTGAGTTTTTCTCGTTTTTTCCTCTGTTGGCTGGTTTATTATTTTGTTAGATAGTTTATTAGTAAGGCCATCTTATTAGCAAATG